GGAAGATCCACTGGAGAAGGGAAAGGCTACCCACTCCAGTATTCTGGCTTGGAGAATTCCATGGACTGTATAGTCCCTGGGGTTGCAAAGAGTTGGACACGACTGAGTGACTTTCACTTTCACCATTTTAAAAAGAATTGAATAAATGTGTTACAGGTCAGTTCTCTTACAAATGAAACAACTCCGGGTTAACCTAAATTAAATTGCCTTGGCCTCCATGGTACCACCGAAGTTCACATAAAAGGTGGAGTTCCGGGTTTAATCCCATGACTCTGGGATCTGTAGAATACTGAACTTCATGCAAATAGTCATTGTATTTATACTGGTGTACATTGAAACTGATGGAAATTGAACATTAAGTAAATGAGAAGGGAATTGGTAGCCCTGAGGTTTGTAAACTAATGATGCTAGGATAGGGAAATTGTGTTCATCAGACACAGTGTGAGGATAGCAAAAGCTTGGATTCCAAATTTGTGAATATTTTATCTGTAGCAGTAGTTTCTGACCATTATGAACTCTTTAAGCTTGGCAGGGGGCGAGGGGGGAATAAGGTTAATTTTATTAAAAGTAACACTAGTAAGTCTAATCAGTGTTGTCTTGGGTCAAGCCATTTTATCCATTCCCATATGGCTACGGAGAAAAGTCATGTAGTTGGTGTCAATACAAGTATAATTAGTTTACAGAAAAAAAATTCTAAGGGGTTTATTAAATAGCTTAAAGTATATCCACACAGTAAAATACTGTGCAGTCATAACAAGAAAGGGGAAATTAGCTTCATATACTTTTGTGTTTGATTCTCAGCATGTGTGGTTAAGTAAAAAAAGCAAATTGGTGGAAAGTGTTTATAACACTTAGATATCGTAGTAACTAAGGAAGATGAATATAAATATACTATATTTACATGTATATATAATATATGTATATATGGTTAGATTGAAACCAAAACCAAAAAAATATATATTACTTAGAGTCAGAGGAGGGATGGAGCAAGGTGAGGAGATAGGAGAGGTAGTTGGTCTTCTTTATTATAGTTCTCATTTTGTAGACTTGTAGGAGAGAATCATCTCTAGAGACATTATCAAGGAACAGAAAGAAAGGGACAAAACTATGAGAAATAGAGCTAATCACATAAAGATGACTTTAATATAATTAATTATTATAATTTAAAATATGACAAACATTAATTATAAATTGTATTACATTAATTGTATTTATATAAACACACATTATGTACATTAATTTGTGTTAATTTAATATTCTTAGAGAGTCATGGAAAATGATACATCCTTAAAGTACAACCATCCAAAAGTCTGAGAAATTTTAAAATACCTAAAATTTTAAGTAAATAAGTAAATGGCAAAAGGGCACAGCTGAGGAGGAATGAATTGAACTCAAAGTTCATTCTGAAACATTTCTATTAGTGCAAAAGAATAGAGAGACGCAAGATATAGAAGATTTAAGAAATCTTTGGACATTGTCACTTCTTTAACATGGAGTTCAAAAGGAGCAAGTAAAAAGTATTGGGTGGAGGGAGGAAGCACTTGAAGCAGCAGTGAGAGGCTATTCCCCACAATGAAGAAAAGACAGAGTTGTCCAAGGAAGGGTCTCACTCATTTCCAGGAGAAAACAGGAGGAGGTGATCTATATGTCTATCTTCCATCTATCTGTCCTCTTGCAGACAACAGATAATACAAGACCATCTAAGCTCATGTTTTAGCTGGTGTGGTGGTGCTTCACCAGGGCACACAGCATATAACCTGCCGTCTAGCAGAAGCTCAGTCAATGGGTACTGCAGGAAAAGTGCATAAAGCCAGAAGGCTGAAGCTCTGGAGACAGTATTGATTCACAGCTTGCTGTGGGACAGACAGCCTCCTCCCAGTCAGGGGCCATCACAGTGCCAGGGAAGGTACCGCACAGGCGGTCAGGAATCATGGCTGTTGGGTGTGGTCTTCCCATTAAATAGCTGTGTGACTTTGGACAAATTTCTAACCCTTGCTAAGTTCGCATTTCCTTTCCTATTAATACAAAGATAGGAGCTGAATTTGATGACCTCCAAAGGCCAGTCTGGCTTTATCCGTGCATGTCCAGTGAAGCCCATCCATTCTTCCAGCTGTTACTCTTACTTAAAACTGCTTTGATATGACTCCCATCATGTTTTCTTCCAATTTCAGGGGATTCTTTGCTTGCTTTCTTTACTAGATAATCCATCTTGTTCAAAGCTGACTCTTAGAGAAGTATCAAGCATTTTCCTCGAGATTCTGTGTTGACAACAAGTCTTGACCTCATGTAACTTGAGAATTTCTCCAATGGAAGAAGATTTTTGTTTTAAAAAATGCAGTTATTAGTGTGTGATGCTTTTCCAATGCTCAGGAAACTATGTTCCATTGATTCCCATGCACTAAACTATGCCTTAGGGACCCCTTACCCTTTGGCTATCTTCCCATCTATTTGTGGCTCTAGGTGTAGCAGTGTAATGGCATGCTGTCTTCTAGGGCCATATTTCATGTTGATATGATAATACAGCAATAGAGAAAATGATTGAGAGATTGCTTACTGAGCACCTTCTATGTGCCAGACACTTTCATAATGAAAGTCCTTGGCAGCTTGATGAGGTAGTTTTTATTTTTTCTTTAGAGGTGCTGAAATTAAAGGTTGGAATAGCAGGCATTTGGCCAACCAGAATCTCTGCTCCATCCTCCCTCTTCAGAGCTACAAAGTTGCAGTGTGACCTCAAAATGATAATTCCCAGGAGGGGAGCCCTGCACACACCCTGCCCCATTCTTAATCTTAGGAAACAAGAAGGCTCTAGACTTAAACAACTTTCTCTTGTACTGTTTTTTTACCATGGACTGGTAAGCACATTTCGAATATCTCTTAAAACGTTCCTTTGAAATATATCAAGATGGCATTTAATGTAACAAGACAAGAATTGCTTTTTTTCAATGAAATCTGCCTAACAATTTCTTCCTAACCTGGAAGCTTAGAGGCAAGACCAGAAGGGTTCCTTGTAAGAAAACTTTTATAGGATCTGTGCTCTTATCTGTAGTGTTCTATTTTCTGAGTGATGGATTGATTTGGGAAGCCCATCCCCCTTCTGTTATTTTAGGAGCTATTGAAATGGTGTGCTTAAGTTTCTGCTTTAAGTTTTTTTAAGTGTAGCCCATGTTTCTTTAACATGATGAATTCTTAGTGCTCTTTTGTTTTTAAACTGGACATTGCCTCTTGACACTGTGATGAGTGATGCCATTTTGTGGCTGATTAATGTTTCTCGGGCATCTAATAAAGGTCAGAAGCAGGTTAGAAACGGTGCTCAACATCCTCTAAGAAGATCCTCTTAAATTTTTGTTGATGTTGGTGAAACAGAAGTGGAGACAGGTCAGGTTAAATTTCTTGATCATAGAACGACATTAAAAGAGGTTTTCTAAGTTACCTCACCTTTAATAAAATGAAGTCATCTTATATATTAATATATTAATATTACAGCTGGATTTAAACTCATGGAGACCAAGCTTTACTTAACAGTTAAATCAAATTGAATCTCAGATTTTATGAGTGATAAAATGACAATAAAATGGGTCTGGTCAGTAAAGATAATAACTTGATTCAGTACTTTGGATGTAAGTGTTTAAGGTTTCCATGATAAAACTGTAATTTTATACCCCAAAGTGTGTTAATAACATTAAGTGAGGTAATAGGCAAAGTGCACTGACAATGCAATACCCACAGGACCACAGTAATAGAAATAATTTATAATGTATCAGCAATAAAATCTTTAATGTTATCTCAATTCAGGCCAGGCACCATATCTGAGGTTTCAGATTACACATGCCCCTTCCCTCCCCCTGCCATGGACACAAGTGTTAACCTAAAATAATTAAGAAAATGGTTTTCAGAGTGCAGAAATCTTTCACAATTATAGGTATAATGACCATCCTATTAACTACTTCCACCCCAAACCATCTATGTTTGATTGATAGAGCTTGATTCCAAAGTTAGTAAGTAAGCATTTCTTAATATAATCCTCTGAAGCTTTTTTTTATTTCAAACTAAACCCATTTCTAACTTTTAACTCACATAAAGGAATATATTTTGAAGACAGAGCTGGCTCTTTGTATGACCATAAAATTATTTTATTTTGTAAAATCCTGGATCAACAGTTTTATGGTTCAGAAACTAGTTCCACAAATTTTGCCTTTCTGGAGTCAACCAAAAAGAATGTTTTCCTAATGATCAAAAATTAAACAATTTTATTGGATGACTTTACTCACTGTAACTTAGAGGAGTATATCAGCTGATAACAACTTGCTCCAGTGTTTGCAGGAAAGTCATGACTAAAGAGCTAATCCATAAAGCACAGACCATTTCATCAGACACTAGCTTCTTATATGGCTTAAAAGTACATTTGCAAATAGATGGGAAAGCTTGAGCTTTAGTTTCTGTAGTTTCACCCCATGTTTTTTGAGTCTGGGCCAAATATTCATCTCATCAACTCTAAAATCTATGGGAGAAGCTGCAGAAATTTCATGCTTAAGTATTCAAACTAACTGTATAATGATAACAATAATCAGAATAGCCTATATTTACCGAGTTTACTATGAGCTGATTTTAAATGACATTAGAAGATCATTTGACTTCATAAAAACACTATCATTATCCCAATCGTGTATGAGAGGAAACTCATGAGGAGAAATGTACATTGTTCCACCAAGGCACTCCAGTGTTCTTGCCTGGAGAATCCCAGGGACGGCAGAGCCTGGTGGTCTGCAGTCTATGGGGTCACACAGAGTCGGACACGACTGAAGCGACTTAGCAGCAGCAGCAGCCACCAAGTCCTTGGACAGTAGGTGGGGAACCATAGTGGAGTAAGACTGCCCCACTATAGAGATCATGTCCTTGGACCACACTCTACATTCTTGGTCATTTTTTTTTTTTTAAAGATTTTATTAAAGGTCTTTGCACAGCAACATTCAGATTCCAGATCCAGCGGCCAAGGAGACCTATTATGCTGTGGGTACAGGCTGGGGCATGGCAGGCGGCTCTGGCTGCCCACCCTTCTGTTCAGAGATGGGGGTGGTGGGCAGTATTTCGTCTTTGGGTTCCACAGTGCTCACGTAATCAGGCAGAGGCTTCTTAGGGCCAATCTTACCAGTTGGGTCCCAAAGCAGCATGATCTTTACCTTGATGTCCAGCACACCCTTCTGAGCAGCACATGGTGCACGGCAGTGTCAGCATAGTAGTTAACAGGGTCCCCACTGTGGATCATGAGGCCAACCACAAACTTCATGGATTTAGCCCTCTGTCCTCGAAGTTTCCCAGACACCACGACCTCACAGCCTTTGGCCCCACTCTCCATGATGAACCGCAGCACACCATGGCAGGCCCTCCAGACAGCAAGGCCTCTTAGGAGCTTGTAGCACAGAGATTCTGCCTGGGCAATGGCACCCAGTCCTCTTGTGGCTATCTTTTCAGCATAAAGCTCTACACTGCCTTCAGGGAAGCCAAATCTCTTCTGAGCTACAGCACTCAACTCCCGGATCCGCCGGCCCGTCTCACCAAGTACATTCTGTGTCCTGGTGGCCAAGGTAATGATTTCTGTCCTGGTTGGTGTAACTTGGACCTCAACTCCAGAGTACCCATCTTCAGCCAGCTCCCGAGTGAGAAACTCGTTCAGTTCAGCTTTGAAGATGCCATCAGCGACAAACTTCCTCTTCTTGGAAATTTGCACCGCCATCTTGCCACCGTGAGCTGCTGAAAGGAAAGGGTCCTGGTCATTTTAAAATTCTTTGGATAAATGATTTTAAAGATAAGGCCATCATATCTAAATATCACAGGAATACTTTTCATAGGTGGCACTCAGCAGGAAATTCATAATACTTTGAGTATAGTTTGCCTATTGATTATCTAGGAGGAATAGAATGCATAAGGAGCATATATGGGGAAGATCTCCAGAAACAGATTTTATCAGCCTTACTGACTCTATGTCCCTATAAAGTTCTTTTAACTTTCAAGGTGCCTTGACCTCCAGGTACAACCCAAAAGCTGGGGCTGGTGGTCTACAGGAGGGACAGCTGAAACACCAAGTCAGTTGCATAGTTGGTTCAGCAATACATCCACTTCCTAGTAAGCTTACTCAGATCATTTTCATCTGCCCCGCTTTCACCCATCATGAACCTCAGTTTCAAAAGAGAAAGATCCCACTCATGTATCCCAAATACTGAGTTTCTGTCCAGAGGGCTTTCCTGGAAATTTGTTTATGTTAATATAAGACTGCAGCTGTACACTCAACTCTCAGGTTCTCTCCTCCAGAGAAATGGAACTCCCTCCTGGGTCCAAGGTCAAGAACTTGCTGCCTGTGGACAAGTGTCTCTAACTGCTGCTTTTGGACTGCTTGCATAAATGCTTGCCTATTGACTGAGGAGGTGATGGTGATTGTGTATTAACTTCTTTTTCTGATCTGACACTATTCCTGGTACTATAGCCTGCTGCCCTGGATGAATTTTTCTTTTTAATTTGCTAGATCGTTTTCTGTAAGATGGAGGGATGGGAGAGAGCAAGCTTTTTGACTCCAGTCCCTATAGCGAGGGTGAGCTGAGAGGAGTGCCTAGGAACCTTGGTCAGATGCATTAACTCAAACATGAATCTGCCACTTACTTGCTGAGGGACCTGAGGAAACACTGAATCTGGGTTACTTCTTCCTTAAAACAGGGTTGATCATTCTTATCTCTGAGGCCTGCTTTGAGGTTGATGTGTTTGGTGATTGGCACTTGGTGTGTATCCACACCCTGGTGCTTCTCATCATTAACCTCCATGGTTCTTATGGTCTGAAGACACCCACTGGCAGCTGAACTCCCAGGCAGTGTTGCAGATTGAAACCTCTTCCCCAAAGAGATGAACAATTCTGAGCTAACTGCAGCCTCGCTCTGGGATTTGGAATCTGGAAGCACAGGATGTGGAAGTTCATGCCATACAACTTGTTCATAAGACGGGTCTGAATGCAGTGGTCAACACGGAAAGCCAAAAGGAAAGAAACAAATCATTCACATATATTTTCTCTTTTCAGAATTCTGTGACCTGTACTGAAGCTCCAAGTGTTGGTTAGTAAAAACCCCGTGCTGACTATGCAGTGGCCACTTCCCATTGATTCAGGCATCAAGGAGACACATGAGCAAGTTGAGAGAGGATGCTGTGTGGTTGCAAAACAGCACATCTCCCGCCACATGTCAACTGGATCTGGTTGTTGTCAGTCTTGGTCTTATTTATCTTGCCTATAAGTGTACTTATTGAGAAAACCTCACCTGTCAGGCTGGGAGTACTTTCTCTAGCCTCTGAACCATCAGAATTGGAGCAGAAAGCTTATCATCAAACTCAGCATCACCCATTTTTGGGTTTCAGAATCAAACTTGTTAGAGTGGGGCCCAGGGTTGAGCTGAAGCACCCAAGCTGCAGCTTAATTCTGTTCTGTCCTGGAGGCCACGTGCCAACTTTGCTTTGGATTCAGTTCTCAAACTTATAGGCCATATGAAATATTTTTTAAATGTTTGTGTGTTTCTAGTATACAGCAAAGTGATTCAGTTATATATACATATATATTCTTCTTCATATTCTTTTCTATAATGATTTATTAAAGGGCAGTGAATATAATTCCCTGGTGGCATTAGTGGTAAAGAACCTGACTCCCAATGCAGGAGACATAAAAGACTCAGGTTTGATCCCTGGGTAGGGAGGATCCCGTGGAGAAAAGCATGATAACCCACTCCAGCATTCTTGCCTGGAGAATTCCAAGGACAGAGGAGCCTGGTGGGCTACAGTCCATGGGGTCTCAAAGAGTCAGATACCACTGAAGTGACAGCACACACATATTTACAGCGCTTCCCAGGTGGCATTAGTGGTAAAGAACCCACGTGCCAATGCAGGAGATGCAGGAGACATGGGTTTGATTCCTGGGTGGGGAAGATCCCTTGGAGGAGGGCATGGCAACCCACTCCCGTATTCTTGCCTGGAGGAGCCTAGAAGGCTATAGTCCATGCAACTGCAAAGAGTTGGACATAATTGAAACGTCTTAGCACCCACACACATATTTAGAAACAAAATCTCTCTGACATCTTATAAACACAATTTGCATTCAGTTCTGAAGGTGTATATACCATCCTCACTGCTGCATGGCTGTCTCTGCTGACAGATAACACAATGCTTGATCTGTCTCTTCAGGTGGCTCAGGCTAGCTCAGAAAAAAAATCATAATCTTATCTCTTCAGAGCCTCGAAAGGTAAAAATAGCCTGGGTGTTTATTGCACCAGGCTTTTAGACCCAGGTGTATCAGAAGTGTGGGGAAAGTGGATTGTCACTTTCCCTGCTGGATAGGATGGCTTCAAAGGAAACAGAGAGGTGTAGATTAAAGGGATTGTGGCCGCACTCAGCCTTCTCCAAGAAGGCTTAAAGCCCCCTCACGTAGGACCTTATCAGGCTGGAAGGGGGATGCAGAAGATAAACTTTAAAAAATAAATGCCAAAAAAAGAAAAAAAAAATCCCGATTATCGTCTCTGCCTCCTCTACCTTGTCTGGTCAGCAATGTGTTAAGTGAATTGAAACTAGATCTCGGAGAGACAGTCACAACCTGGTTATCAGTGGCAGTAAATGGAAGATAATAGCCCCACTAGAGAGTTATGAAATGGCTTGTCTTTGAGCTGCCAAAGTGTTTAGTCTCTCTTTTATTATATTCACAGCAGTAATCCGATATGTCCTGACTTCTGTCATCTGTATGTAATGCTTATCAACTCTGTCAGTGATTCACCCCCTTGTCAGAGACAGTTATTCCTCAAAGTGCTGAGGTTATGACTGAAGCAATATTGTGACTGGAAAGAAAATACATAAGGTGTATCCATCACAGCAGGCAATCTGGGAGCTGACGTCAAAGTAAAGGAAAACATGGTCGATGAAAGGAGTACATAAGGCGACGTTTTGTTCCCTGCGCCAGGGGGCGCGGCTGGCGTGGCCGAGGTCAGATGGGCAGATGGCCTCCTTCCCGAAGATGCTTGACCCGCTCAGGATGGCGGGACGTGGGACCTCTGCCCTCACAGCTGTGTAACCGTTTTCACGCTGCATCTCCATTGACAGGGCGCTCGGAATCGGGTTGTGACACGGTCTGCTTGATGAAGAGAGTTGAAGGGAAACAGGCTGGTGCAGAAACTGTTTCATAACAGAGATGAGAGCCCACGGCTCCCTGCACCATCCATCCGTATCTTAAGATGTTCACTCACACCTGGGACTTGCTTTAAGCAAGGCTTATCCCCATATCACCCGTGAGAAGGGAGGGGAGTGTGGTGGCAACAGCTGGGGTTTGAGACGGTGCAGAGTGATCAAGAGAATTGGGGTTTGAAATATTAAAGAATTAAAAGTGTGGCAGGCAGAATTCATTTTGAACGTTCTTTCTGATCTTGAACAAGCTACCTAATGCCTCTGGCCGAAGTTCTATAAAAGGATAAAGTAGTTACCAACAATACCTGTTTGTGGCTTCCCTGGTGGCAGAGCAGTAAAGAATCCGCCTGCCAATGCAGGAGACACACGTTCAATCCCTGGGCGAGGAGCATCCCCTGGAGTAGGAAATGGCAACTCACTCCAGCATTCTTACCTGGAAAATCCCATGGACAGAGCAGCCTGGTGGGCTCCCGTCCATGCGGCTGCAAAGAGTTGAATGCACCTTAGCAACTGAGCATGTGGCAATAGCTGTCATATGGCTGGAGAGTCCAGAGATGATGGCAATAAAGTGCTTGAGTAAAGGCACTTATAGATATGATATGACAAATGGTGTGTGACTGGAAATAAGACCCTGTGTATGTTCTGAGAGTCTCATGTGTTCAGCTCTGACATAGGCAGAACACTAAGATGTGGGTGTGATACTAATGGCTTGACTTTGATGCTGTGAAAAAGCAGCTCCCTGATAATTCCTGTGAATGCAGGGCAGGCATGCCGGTGTGGTTCTTGCTGATTATATGACTAGAGTACTCTGAGTGAGATTTGATGGGGACCAAGACAGCAACAGTGATTCCTGTTTTCGTATCAGGGATACCATTTACGCCCAGCCATTGCTTATATTTTGTTTATACTTCCTGGACATTGCCTAACTTTTTATGCTATGCGATTGCATGACTGTTGCAGAATTCGCAGCCCAATGTATGGCAAGTTCACGGATAAGGGTGAGGTTCAAAATGTTTACAACCAGTGATGCAAGTCCTATGGTCTATTTAGAGTGGTTGCTGGCTTTATGGGTGGAATCCTATCTTCTAGGCCTCCTGCTATGCTGGGCAGGAAACCTGCATTGCCAGTGAAAGCTGGTGGTCTAGAAATGCGTCCCAGCACCTTGAGCATTGGTTGGGAGCACTTGGGAGTTGAGAAGCAGGCATCTCCTCTAATACAGGGGTATTATACATTTTAACAACCTGTCTGGCTATACTAGTTCATACCTAATGATTATCAGCACTGCCCATAGGACGACATCAAACTTTATAGTAGGTACATTTATATAAGCTTCCATTGTATGTTCTTAACCATGTTTAATTTTCTCTTTTTTTAAAAAGTTATTTGTACATCATTAATGAAAGATTAGTTTTTAGATCATTGTAAGGGTTAAATCTGGTCACTGTAACATATTTAGAAAATAGAGATAATTAAAGGGAAAAAAATTGTCTAAACACCTCAACACTCAACAATCACCATTATCTACTTCTTGAAATA